CCGCCGCCGGGCCTTCCAGGGCCCCCTTGGCCCTGACCTGGGGTCTGCACGTTCCTGCTCTGCGTCCCTTCTGACACTTCCTCCCCTTCCCAGGCCGACTGATTCTGTCTCCTTCAGCGCTCCGGCCTTCGCGCAGCCTCTTCTCAGTCGGCCTCCGCTCGTCGGAGCCAGAGCCATCATCTCTCTGGGTGCCCCGGATGTTTGGTGTCGGCTGCCCCCTGTGGAAACCCACGACCCCCGAGATCTCAAGAGGAGCTGCAGCCTTTCAGCCCCCGTGTTTTATTTATTGTGTCCTCCCCCGACGTCTCCTTACTGCTGCCCCTGCACCTTCAACTGGCATTTGTCTCCCCGCGCACGTCCCTGCCCTCTTCCCATGCACGCGCCAGACTAGAAGCCGCCGGCGGAGGGAGTAATGGTCTCCAGCCCTAGCCCTTGGCACCTGGTAGGAGGTCCGCAGGTACTTGCTGAGAGAAGGGAATGTCCTTGAGTATGTGTGGCTCCGTCTGGCTGAGGATGGAGTTTGAGACCGGGAAGAACCTGGCTCCCAGACAAAACCGGAAGCCACCGCACAGCAGAGTAGCACGCGGGCTTGGGGACACTGCAGAGGGGTACGGACTGCCCCCACTGCTCTTCCCTGTTCATTCTCCGGGAAGTAGCAACCCTCCTGTGCGGACTGATCTCCTGTATGCGACTTCTGTGCGCCCCCCAGCCCCCGCCAGCCATTGCGAGACTCTGGCAGATCAGTTCACACCGTGCGCGGGTGTCCTCTCTAGGCTTCCGTCCCTGGGAAGCTGGGTCTGGGTCCAGGGAAGACACCGGGTAACTGAAGTCCTCTTCCTCCTCTCCAGTCCTCAAAACCCGTCTCTGCCGACTCAGCCCAAGGGGACCCAGGGTTCAGGGCCTCGGTATACGTGGGCTTGGGCCTGCTCCCCAGGGAGCCTCCAGCACACACTGGCATTAGGATGTTCCCGTGGTGCATCAGCCCTGCGCCTGGAGTGGCCAGGGGCAGAGTCACCCAGGCCAGGATGCCGGCGTGTTTCCCTTTATTCTGGTTGGACCACTTCAGAGGGCCTGGACTCCCAGCCTTGGGCTGCTGAGAGAAGCTGGAAGGCAGAGGGGGACACTCCTGTTCCCTGTTCACCCCGCAGCCACTGCTGCCACCCCTAACTACGGTCTCTGCACTGAGGGCCCCTCTCCGCGTGCTCTCCAGCTTGGGAGGGCTGGAAAGTTTGGAATTCCCCACCCTGGGATGAAAGTCTCCCCAACACGAGTCCCGTCGGAACTTCACGCAGCCCTGGGTGTCTGCCACGCTCCTTTGAAGCCTCCCGTGTTCAGCCAAACTATTTTGCAGCCTCTGTCCGCTGAGAATGGGTCTGACAGTTCCACCATCTCCGGCTATCATTGTCCTGGTTTTCTTACCATCTCATCTCATGTGCTTGGTTACATTTTATTGTAGTCAGGATATAGTATCAACAAAATTGTTTTATAGAAACAATTCGAGGTTTTGGATGAAATTTTCCTCTAGAGAGAGTTTTTGTTTGCTTATGCCAAGGGCTTGGAGTTCACCTCAATCTAATTTCAATGCCCCAGGACAGACCTATTTCTTCCTTCTGGGTCACCCTTATACCTGGGGTGCAAAGGACTGAGGGCCTCCCTCCAAAGTAAGGGACACTGACCAGGTCTGTCACCCTTCAACAGGCCCTGTCCCCTCCTTCTGGAAGGCCTCGTTCTGAACTGCTGCCTCTAACTTAGGCAAATACGCAAGAACAGCGGCCCTGACGCTATGGCCTCTTCCTTGGCCCTCCACCTTTCCAGGGTCCTGGTCCGATGATTCTTCTAGGTTGGGTGAGCTTTCTGGTGCCTTCAGATGTTGAAAACATTTTGTCTGGCCTGTCTAGTTGTTTTCAGCGGATGGTCAGTCCAGTTACGTGTCCAGTGTCCACGCTGACTAGCAGCAGCCCCTGTTAGTTACGTGTCAGTAACTCAAGCAGCCTCCGAGTGTCATGGTAAAAATACGTAAAATGTCTGCTCACTGTTGTCCACCCGAGTCTGTGCTAAAAAGAAATCTCATAGGAAGTTAGGCCTTGGAAAAGTCACTGCTCTCCCCACAGGGACTGCAGCTCCCTAGACTCACGGCAGCAGTGTGCTACCTGCACCTACCTGTGGCACACAGCAGTTAACTGACTCATGAATCTTCACTGAGAACCTACTCGTGTGAAGGGAGAGAAGACACTGTTTTCTCATGGACACTAAGTGATTAATGGATTAAGTGACACCTCAAAATAAACCCCAAGGTTCAGGTGTCAGCCCTCTGCTTTTTCAAATCATATATTCCTCACAAGGACAGGCAGGAATCTAATTTCCACTGTTTAAATGCCTTTATTTCTTTTAAGTGAAACTGAAAAGGAAGAATAACAACTCGATATTTTTGGCTATTGAGGCAGTTCTCAAAAAAAGAAATACAAATGACCAATAAGTATATAAAAATTTCATTAGAAATAACACAAATGCAAATCAAACAATAAGGTACTATTTTTCTCTCTCATTAAAGTGGCAAAATATTCTTTCAATGACAATAAATACCCAGTGTTGAAAAGGTTCTGGGAGCAGTGCTTTCACTGCCGGAGGCGGGGGACTTATCACAGCGGTTTGTGAGGTGTCTGCGTCAGCACAGTGAAGCCTCGACATGTGTGCCCTGCTGTCCTACTCCTAGTGACGAACGCCGAGGAGTCAGGAGTGTGTACACAGACTTATGCCCAGGCTGCACATTACACCACACTGGGCATGAGACGGTCTAACAGCGGATTGTTTCAACGAATCACAGCACAGAAATACGAGGGGACACCAGCCATGAGACGTCAGTGTCTGCTTAACTGGGAAAGCAAGCTGTGAGAGAGTATGCTTTACAAAACCATACATTTACGTACACTTGTAGGACAACGCTGAGGAGAATATACACGTTCTTGTTACCAGTCTCTGGACAGTGGAAATATGAGTGATTAAGAAAATGTTTATACCCATTTCGTATTTATCTGTAACGAATGTGTACCACTACTGTGATCACGGGAGGAAAGAAAAATCAAAAAATGCTTTGCCTGGTTTGGCTGTGTGAGGAGGGGCCGCACGCCCCCGAGGAATCTCCTTGGTTTTGTTCCTTCGGACCTGAGTGGATAAATCTCACTCACAGCTGGTCTTCTGCAGATGCCATAATCACAGACACTTGACCGTTTGTCTGGAAAACAGTTCTCTCACTTTCTGCTAGAGCTCACTGAGGCTCTGCCTGGGAAAGCGGGGAGCAGGCTGCTTGCATTTAGTTGGGGAGCCCTTAGAGTAAGTTCTGGGGAGAAGGGAGGAGGAAGCAGCCAGAAACCAGATGCACAGTGGCATACTGCAGATTGTACGGTCTCTCTTTAGTCCTCATGTCAGTGCCAGGATTCCTGGGCCTTAGAGGTAGGGTGACTGAGGGTGCTTGAACCTGGTCACCAGATTCCTTCTCAGGCGAGTCATTCCAGAGGAAAAATGACAGGACCACTGCAAATTGCACTGGAAGGTTAAACGAGTGTGAAGCATTGGGCTGTCAGAGCGACCCCACAGCCGGAGGCGTGCGCACGGACAGTCTGTATTCCGGGTCGGAGCAGAGTCCGAACTCTGAGAACCGTGCCCAGCAGGTTCACTGAATGGCGTCACCACCCACTAACCAAGACCAACCTACAAGTTCCTGTGGAATATGGCAAAGGCCTGTCCCTCCTCCACCCCACAGACACTACGGTGATTCCAAGAGATATGGGGCCTTGGGGTGGCTGCCTGACAAGGTTGAAAATCTGATCATCGACCTGCAAGCTGCCAAGGTGAGGAGACCTGCGGGGGGAGGGGCCATGTGTCTCCACAGCGAAAGGGGTCTAGCGGCCCAGAGCGGAGGCCCTCACACAGGGCAGCAGAGGGGTTTCTGATTAATAGTTTAAGCACTGAAGTTGATAAATACTACACTTTCAAAGAGAATACATTTCTGTAGATAAAGTTAGCCGCGCAAGCAAGTCGCTCTCAGACACGGGTAGGCTTTCCTGAGAGAGCACGTGGTCAACATCTGTCATGTGTCACTGTGGCTAAAAGTTGACGACTGCTCTTCCTGAGCAGAAAGCAAGGGAACCCCTGGGTAACAGAGAGCCCTGGACGAAGGCCAAGGACGACGAGAAATTTACAGAAGTACCCAGCGTCCTAAAACGTGGGGAAAGGGAGAGGAGGAGACGTCACGATGCAAAGTGAGCTGCGCGACAGGTGCGCACGAAGCTTTGGAGAAGCAGGCCGAGCCCTGGGAGGGCTGGGCCGCATGTGTGGACACCGCGATCTGTGTCGGCAGAGAAGGCGCCAGCAGGACCGTCACTCCGGGTTAGGTCCAGTTCTTGGGAGCAGTAGCTTTTATAGTTGGGGTGGAGCCGAGCCCCTCCCCTGAGTTACTCATGGGATACCCGTTCCAAGGCCACATAGAAACTGTTCTTGTCATCTAGGCAATGCCAGCCAATAGGTCCAATCTCACAGTCTGCGCAGACCAGAAACTTGACGTTGCCCACGTCCTTGGTGAAGCCCACGTTCTCAAAGACGAACATGTCATCCACCAGCCAGTGTTCCTGGAGGAGGTCGCCGTCAGGACTGCTGCCATCGGCCAGAGCTGGCTTCTTTCTCATGGAGGGGAGGAAGAGCTGCAGTGGACGAGAACAGGAACAAAGCTGGGCTGCTCAGTCCCCCATCACCCTGTCCTAGGGACGCGCTCCAGCTCCCAGCACTTTCCTGGGATGGAAGCCAAACCAGGAGCCCTGTGCTATGGTCAGGTATAGAGGAGGGTGCCGGGTGGCTCCTATCACCTGTGGCCCCTGTCCCGATCCCTAAGAGACCGGAAAGAGGGATTCTGACTGGCTGCAGTGCTGACGACATGCGACCTGTCCCCCTGGCTCGCTGTACTCCGGCCACACCAGCCTTCCTGCCTTCTTCAAACAGGGAGAGTCTCCCGTGCCTGCAGGTCTTGGCCAGGCCAGCTCCTTCTTGACATTCAGCTCAAAAGTAACCTCCTCAGAGGTCTTCCCTAACCCAACGATCTGAACTAGCTTGCCAGAATGCCCATTCTATTTTTATTCTTAAAAATGGCTTCCAGAGTTATAACTGGCACATAGAGTGCACACAGTTTACGTGTGTGACCTGATGCATTATGGCACATGCTCGCACCGGGGAACTGTTACCATAGTCGAGATAATGAGCATACTCACCACCCCCCAAAAGACCCCTATCGCCTCTCCCTCTTTATTATTTGTTTAGTGTCTGAAACTTATCTTCAAACTGACTGGCTTAGTTATTTACCATGGGTCTCCCTCCACTAGAATGTAAGCTCCTGGCAAGCACGGAGCTTCCCTTTCCCACTCATTACTATAACCCCAGTGCCTAGAACAGGAACTGACTGGAGCAGAACTCAGCCACTCCTAAAAAGAATAAATACGAAATGTCTGGCTTTGCTTTCTTCCATCACGAACAGGAACATGCTGGGCTTACCTTTTAAAAAGGAAAACCTCCTTCTAGAATCTGGAGGACTAAGCCCAGGATCCTATGCCCTCTAACGCACTGGGAGGCCGCCTCTGGCACGCGCACGTGCACACACGCCCTTCCATTTCTTCCTTATGCTAGGTTTACACACCTTTAGCCCCCAGACTATTGCAAAATACACCAGCAAAACTCATCACCCCTCTGCTCCTCATCATATGGTTGCTACCAATACTCTTATTCCCGCCCCACAATACACTTCTAACGCACCCCAAACTCTCAGTGTGCTGGTCGAGCTCTGGCAATCGCAATAGAAGCAGAAAGTTTTCGTTAGTTAGGGAGGCCCCCCAGAGCTGCCAGTGTGTATGAAATCCCCTGGGCCACCATGTGGAAACCGGTGGGTTACCCTGCCGGGGAGAAGGGAGCGCCGACCCAGAACATTCCCATACCCCCTCCCCAAGCACTGGGCTTATTAAAACAGTTAGCTGTGCTGTGTCACCTGAGACAGCATGAGGACATCACAAACTATGAGAGTTCCCCCTGCTGTTATGTTGTCATTGCAGTCACTCTTTGGGCCTCCTGTGATGTTTAAGTGAGTCTCTAATGCTTTGTTTTACCCCAAGGGGACATGAGAACAGGCAGAGGAAAAGAGACGGGAATCAAAACTCAGGTGCCAGGAAACCCGGATTCCAGCCCTAACTCTAACTTTCTGGGGGCCCAAATTTCCCTAAAAATATTTCTGGCCCATCCTCTATATGGTAGGGGTGAAGTCACGCCTAACTCCACCTAGGGGAGGAAATCAAACACCACTTGAGCATCAGATCAGCCCTCTGAGAGCACCCAACAGGAAGCTGTCTGTCCCCTTTT